CCCGATATTCCTGGTGCCCCCCCCCCCCCACAGGACCCCCTGAGGGGCACGATCGTATGCTTTTTCCAAGTCCGCAAAGCAGTATCCTTGTGACGGTAATCTTCTGGTCCAGTCTTCCGCATTGCCCCTCCTGGGTCTGAGGTTCGACCAATGGACAGACCGTCCTCTCCAGTACTCCGGCACAGACCACTGAGGAGTGTGATGCCTCTGAAGTTGGAACACAGCTGCAAAAAAACAAATTAAATCAAAAATCTTACATCAGTTATTATGGACTCCCCCCCCCCACACACACACACACCTGGCTGAGATTGTTTGGTAAGGGAATTCGTCTGAGAGAAACACCCAATAGTAACATGTCGATGATTAAGAATTCCACGTCTGCAGACAGCTGTGCAGACATATTGCTGGTTCATACATCCACTGGGTACATGGAGGGTCTCCATCAGGAATTTGTTGTCCCGCTCATTACAAATTAGCAAGCCATGCAAGGACATGTGTTGCTGCTTAAAATATATATTTTTACCTTGGCATCAAATCGTGTTGATATTGCTGTTTAAAAGAAACATGTTTTAAAAATACCTTTAGAAACTTGGATCAGATAGAGAATGACAAGAAAAGATTTGCCAGATAAAAAAGAAGAAAAGAATATTGATCCAATTAAGCATTCCCCCCCACGTCGTCCCTGGCCAGCGAACTGAAATGTTCTAGCAAGCCTCTCTGTGCCACATGGCAACTATTGTTCGGGATTTGACACTTAGTGCCGTTTTTTTGTCTAAGTAATTAGGGCAAATGTGCATTCCAAATCTGCACGTGTTTGGATGGATGCAAAGGAAGTGATGGTAAACAGCATTTTCCTCTATGTAATCATGCATTATAATTATAAATATATGATATTATAATTATAAAATGACAAAGATATCATCAGCAATTAATCATTATCATGAATGAAGATTATTTATTGCGTTAGCCCTTGATCCAAACAAGCATAAATAACATGAAAGTTTTAAAAGTGAATAACTTTTACAGGAAGGTGACAAAGCATTTGCACATTCAAATGAAAAGCAATCAAACGCTCCCTGAAGTAATTTCACACAAGAAGGTGCAACCTGCAACAATGACTTCTGGGGGGAGGGGGGATGATTAATTCACGATGACGACTTTCCTTCCGAAAGTCACGAACCCAGTGAGATTTTTTTTTAACCTATTACGGGCTGTCCTTTAAACAGTACTTATGAAATGAAGACATCTCGTTTTTATTAGTCATTTATTAGTCGTAGGGTTACTGTCGTTGCAGCTTTGACTGATAAGTTAATCCAAGAGTATGCAGATAAATTCGTGTCAGGAATTATAGAAATTTATCATCAATAATTCTTGTACGTAATTGTTTAACCGACATTTGTATTTAAAGTGTTAGTGTTCATACCAATTTATAGGTTTACAGCAAATTCTATTCAGAACCTTGGTGACTGAAATCCTTAGGTTATGAATCCTCGACCACTACGCCACCTTCTGGCTATTCTCCATTATTTACGAGTTGTGACAGGGAGCAGACACAGCGGGTTGAGGTACCTCTTAGTGCCCCCCGAATGCCAGTTCGGAGCAGAACAATCACTTATTTTGTGTTTGCTGTTAGCAAGACGGGTATTCACGGCAGGGGGCTTTGGGGGGCGTCCGCGCCTATAAGCGGACACTCACACACCCAGGCCGCCGCCCTCGCTTTTCCAACCAGACCGTGATCACAGGTCTACAGCTGCGCAACTAGAAATCACCTCCCAGACAAGGATGGACAGATCCCAGCAGAATGCAAGCTGAATGAACCAGTTACGGTCTCGACAGATTTATGCATTCATCAGAATAAGATGAATAATGCAGTAACGGTCTGTCCGTGCAGTGTAATATCACGCCAAAACATCTTTACTAATAATATTTCGTAAATATTGGTTTAAAGTGGGCGGCACGACGGGTTAGCAGTAGGCGCTACTGCTTAACACTTCCAGTGCTGGTGGCTTGATTCCCTCTGCCGGCTTATATATCCTGTGTGTGCAATTTGCGTGATCAGGTGAGCTAGTCTTTAAATCGCCTGCAGCTTGTGCGCATTTTCGCAGTAATCGTCTGCCATCCCATCCGGGGGATTTCCTCCAGGATCTCAACACACTATGTATTTCACAAGCGGTTATGAATGATGAATAATGCAATTGTCTATTTTGCAACTACAACGGTATAACATAACAAAAGTAATTGTAACGTTTAATAAACATTATTGTAAAATTTGTGTGAAACTGTGACGCCTCCATAAAGAGCAGGCCCTGTAAGTGCTCCAAACCGCTGATCCGTGGTAATGTCTCCTTGTTTCTGAGCTTTAACTAGGCGGAGGGTATTATAGCAATATGCAGCTTTTGCGACAGATGCACTGTAGCTTTCAGGCTTTTTTTAAACTAATCTCCAATTTATTTACCCATTTAAGCAGAGCAAGCCCGAAATACCTCTCTCCCCGTGACTTAAATACTTCCTAACAAGGCTGACTGTGGCGGTTCTTTTAATTTTTTTTTTATTTAAAATATAGCGTCGACCAGGTTCAAAGCAGCAGATCGCATCTTAGATATATGGACATATGCACCAATCAAAACAATAATTTCAGAGGCAGCTCTCTCTCTCGCTGTTAAAGTTCCCATTTTTTTCTATCGGATTCTAGCGTGTGGAACCACACAGGACAGAAGATCAAAGTCGGCTGGTCTGAAAAGCCCCCGATCACACACGACTTCCTGCGGCGACAGATCGAAACGCCCGCATTTATATCCAAGCTTATTGATTAAATATGCATTATTAAGCTTTGAATAATGCAATCACCCATGTCAAATACAAATAGCGTGTTTTTGGGAACAAAGGGAATGGATTGTTATCGTAAAAAAAAAAACTCGTAGAAATGTTCGTCTTCATACTCTGTGATCGTGCTGTGGCAATCGCCGTTTGACAGCACTGTAAATTATGAAAGAATAGTTTTTACGGTTAAAATGGCAAAAGGAGATGAGACGATACCTAACAGAAGACATTAGAAATTTAACCAGATAGTTAGCCGTCCTAAGGCCAGCAGTCATGACTGTGCAGATTTGCACCTGCTAATTCTCTCTCTTTGCCATACCCTTGATCTCAATGCTTTCTTCATCTTGGGAATTAATCCTTAATTTTCAGCATCTCTGCTTGAACAGGCCCAGTCTCGCCTTATCATATTTATTGCCTCTTCAATGAAAGGATGGTCCATTTTGCTCCCAAGAATTGTTCACTTTTTAATTTAAAGGAACAGCCCTCCCTTTTTTGATCTGGGTTATCTCCCTGACACAGTCACCGATGTCGGGTGTCACAATGGCCGCTCGTTTACCGGGAGCCAATAAAAGTCACATGGCTGAATGTTGCTTTTCAAAAGGGTCCTGTTCGTCTAATTGGCTGTCGCCGTGGGCCACGTCACCCAGGGAGACAGGGGCTCCATCCAACCCGGGAACAAATCGCACATCCCTGTCCAGAATTAGCGTCTGCTGAGACGGATAAGGACAGGTTCCCTCTGGGACCTTTTCTCCAGATGATTACCGCATTTACTTCCATCCCCTAACCTGGCATCTTAATTATTTATTTACAGAAGTATTGTTTTTTTTTTGGTTTGTTTGTTTTGACTGGAGGTATTAATGCGTAGGATTGGTTAAGTCGCTGGAGAGCTAATGAAATAACACCTAGCCTGAATGAGACCAGGTGGAGGGACAGAGGAGAGAGGGTGGGAGGAGTTGGCTTCCCTCACTCCCTCTGCCCTCTTGCTTGCTCTTTCCAGCATCACCATTAGCATTCAGGGGACACAGGCAATATGACAGAGGCTGCTTTCATTACGTTAGCCTGGCAGCCCCTGGAAAGGTGGGGGGAGGGCCAGTTGCACCCTACACACACACGCGCAGGGCTATATATAGCCTCCACCCACCAGAATGACCTCTCTCCCACACACGCCTGTGTGCACGCGGCCGCCGCTCTGATTGAGGACACACGTCGCCGAGAGTCGTGATGACTCATGCTGTGTGTGTCAGATATCCAGACCCGGACCCGTCCGACACATCCGAGGCTGCGGGGAAGCTGGTTGCCTAGCAGCCGGACGTAGCGGACGCGGCCGGCTGAGATGGCAGCCGTGCCAGCGCCGATGGGGGCTCCGGGCACTGCCACGCCCTCCTATACCCCTCTGAGCTGACCGCGCCAGCCTGACTGTCACATCAGCACAATTACCGTGAAGTGTGCCAATGAGCCTATATAAAATAACTATACTCAAAATAACTATATATTTAAAAACTAAACACATAATATTGTAAGGTTTTTAATTATTCATACATTTTGGATGAAAATTGATCTGGCCGTGAAATGGCTAACCTCTAACTATGTATGAAAGACCTGAACGTCAGCTTAGTGTGTCCTTAGCTATACAGTACGTGTAAAAAGCGAGTATCAGTCAAAGGATCTATAACATCTAGGTGATAGATGCTGACTTTGATTGCTGGCTTTGTTTTTTTTTTTTGATACTTGAAATGACAATATAGTAGCTGTGAAACATGGTACCCATGTATATGTGTGATTTACTTGTATCCAAGGTAACTTGCAATGTGGGTGTCATGGTGGCTGGCACTGGACGTTGTCCATAGGGGTGAATGGTGTCTGAATGTGCTCTGTGGTGTGTCGTCCCCCCCCCCCCCCCCATTCTTAGGCTGTTCTGTGTCCTACACGGAAAAATGGATGAGCTTACACTACAAAGTTTTACTAGAAGATGAATCTAGATATTAAAAAAATACGTTTGCCTAGGTGCCCACTTATCGGGACAGCTGTGAAGTCCGACAGGGGATTAATCTCTCCTTTCGTAATTCAGGTGCCATTAAGCAGCTTTGACTAACCGCTCCGCTCCGGCTGACAAAGACCTTCAAAGCCACATCACCTGACCGGCAACATTTTCCCCGTTCCTCCCGCGCAGATTCCGAAAGCTCGCTGCTGCACTACCTGAGCGACGACAAGATTCTGGTCATCCAGGAAGACCCCGATATCCCCCGCGACTGCAAGCGGGACACGGGCCGGCGTGCGCGCAAGAAGGGCAAGAGCCCCAGCAGCCCCAACTACCCAATCAGCCCCACCCTGCTGGCCTCCACTGTTAGACTGGACTCAGGACCCCCAGAGGGGCTGCCCTTCCCACTGCCCGAAAATAACACTGTGCCGTTTTATCACGTGAGTCTCTCCCTCCTCTTTCCTCAAGTCCACTGACCCATTTGCTGCAAATAAAGTTATACGTTGATATTAAGGCACAAGTCGAATATTCTCATGTGAAAAAAATCCTCAGTTTCGCAAACTCAGAAGGTCTTCTTTTACAAGTCAGAACTTACAGTACCTGTATTACCTATGAACTCAATAAAGTCTTTAAAAGAAGAGTCACAGCCTTGTAGGAATTTTGGTTGAAGGATAGTTACAAGACTATAATACTGTAAATATTCTAAATGCCTGGAAAGCTTTCACTGCGAGACGCCTGTTAGCTTGGGCTACTGTGGTTTTTCATTCTAACTAACCTATTTAAATTAAAATTTTAGAGCTTCCCTGGTAAGCTGTCATTCATTTCATGTGAAGAGGTGAACAGGTGGAGTTTTTTCTTCTCCCATTTGCCTAGGAGATTTTTATTAATGGCAATATAGGTTATTTAGGCCTTGTGCCTATTTTCTTGAATCAGTTCAGGCTAACTGGCCCCGTAGAGGAGAGAGAAGCCCTCTTTCTGCGGATGAAATTAGCAGCGCTGCAGTCAGAGTCTAATTACTGCCGTCCCAAAGCCAATGTTGTTGTAGTCTTGTATTTTTTTTTAATTAGCTTTTATTTTTATGCTATTTTCTATTTTCATTAGAAATCAAGTTTAATTTTAGTTAGCTAATAAGCATGTTTTTTTTGTTTTTTTTTAAGAAATATTTCTATTTAGTTTTTTATATATATTCAGTTTCAGTTTAGGTAATTTTATTTCTAGGGGTAGACTGAAAGTTGAATGTGTCTGTCCTTGAGATAGTCCTGTAGTCCTACACAAATACACAATCTGTCCTCAAAATGGGCAAATTGTGTTCTAGGTATTATCAATGGTGTTTAAAGATAAACCAATCATACGGAAAGTATTTGATGTTTGTTTTTATTTTATGTTAGTTTCTGAAGCAATATTCATAGTTTTTTTAGTTGTAGTTTTTTATTTGTCTCTGTTATTGTATTTCAGTTTATGAAAATGTTTTTTTTTTTAGCTGTAGTTAACTGTAATAACGCTGCTCACAGCAGGCCGATTAGTAGCTGATTGGTAGAGAGAGATCACAGCTGCCGATCCCAAAGCCAGAGCCGCCAACAGCCTCCCTCCCTCCATGTCCGGACCCCTCATGCCCCCTGGGTTCCTCCTCAGAAATAGCTTATGCAAAGAACAAGGCTGTTCTGCTGCTCCAAGCATGATCAGACCCTCAGAATACTGTTTCCTCCGCACTGGATCCGAGGCGACCCTCGGCCAGTCACGGAAAAGACATGAATCAATGTGGGAAAAAAATCTTTTTTTTTTTGTTTAACTTATCTCTTTATCTCCAGTGCTGACCGCCTGATTGGTTTATTCATGATGCTGGAATTCCCTTTTTAAAGTTTGGAGCTCGCCGTGTAAGTAGGGTGTTCGTGGGAGTTTTATTTACGCAAAAATGTTCTGAGGGCAGAACGAGAAATGATTGGCTCAGAGAGATAACCAATCAGATTGTGGCGGAGGTTGGTCCAAGCAATTGGTGGAGGCAGGACTAAGACATGTGATTAGTTTGTCCCGTCTCCTCTAGCTCCTTGGACCTGCCTCCTCTACAATTACAATCTGATTGGTTATCTCTCCGAACCAATATTTTTTTTGTTATGCCCTCAGAACATTTTTGTATACGTAAAACTCCCATGAACAAGTAGGGGATGTTTGTTTTATCATCCAGACCCAGAGGATACTAAGCCTGGCTGGTTTGTCTTTATCATATTACCTGTAGTGAGAAGAGTCTCTGGCTCTGTCTCCTCCAGTCGAACGCTTAGGAACATGCTGAGGGGCAATTTGCATAAAAATTGACCCGGAGCCCCACCCCATGCCCACCTGTCCAAATATGTAGCCCATCTGTGAGGCCGGCAAACATGCCCCGTTGGCCTCAGCTCTCGCACCTACAGAGTGAGACAGGAACCAGAGGACCTTTTGGCAACATTGGCCTTGAAAAGACATCCTTGTGCCAGTCAGTAGCTCCTCTACCGCTGGGTGCGGGAAGGCGTGCCATTGGCCAGAAGGCCGCCATGTGACAGGTAGTGCTCGAAACCGATAGGTGGGAATGGTGAGGACAACATGGGGCTGCCGTGACAGACATCTTGGTATTTTGCATCCGCAAGCAGGTCGAGAGTCATGCACCAGGGGGCACCTCTGAGTTATGGGATGCCTAGATTAGTCCATAATGGATGACGAGATGAGAATCGTGCTCGTCGTCCAAGTTGTTGGTCTCTCCTCCGGGTAGGGGTGGTTCAGGGTGGTGGGGGGAGTGGTTGGGCTGTGCGATAAATTGGTGCATTGAATGTATGCCACCCGCCCACTCCATAGCAGTGAACAGAGAACAGTGTGGCTCTCCCATGGTGCAATGGGGCTCCGAAGGCATCAGCATTCATCAGGTTGGCAAGGACAGTGTTCTCAGACTAATCTCTCTCGCCGGCGCCTCGATCAGGCCAAATGAAACGTTTTCAGATTCATCTCCCTCTCTTTAGCTGTGCCTTAATCTAAATGAGAATGCATTTTGGACAGCTCCTATTTTCCTGGTCACAGCTTATATATCCTCCTCATGGGTTTATAATGATGTAAATACCCTGAAACTTATAAACAAAAAATAAATGTACCCTGTGTTCTTTGGTGCTGTGATTTTCAAACTAAAGAACTGATGATTAGAAGAATTGTGAACAAGTAAGCTTTTCGGAAACATCAGGTGAGGACATTTCTGTTTTCTTCTTCAAGATCTGCACAGCCAATGGGAAAGCAGCGCTAAATCCACTTCTTCAGTGATAGAGGCTATAGACATAATCTCATTTGTGGCTCACAGACCTTTAGTTCATTTCCTCGAGGCTCTCACACCATCACTAACTGAATTAGTGTCTTCAGATTGCCCGTAGTGTGAGTGTGTGTGTGCATGCGTGTGTGTGCGTGCGAGTGTGTGTGTGTGTGTGCGTGCGCCCTGCAATAGACTGACTTCCCATCCAGCTTTGCCTTGACTACAGGACTATCTCATGCCTTGTGCCTGGTACTTAAATGCAGGGGGAGATAACGTAGGAATGTTATGGTGAGCTGTCTCTATCCGCCGCAGTGCATTTTGTGTGCCTGTGAATCACTGGCCCCTGATCTGCCTTTCTGTCCCCTTCCCGTCAGAGAGCCGGGGACACACTGCGGCCAGAAGCTGACCGGTGAGTGAAGCTGTGGAATGAAACGCTAACTGGTCCTTGTGCAGACTTGGCGCACGACCCATAATTGTAAATGCTTCGATGCAGAGCTCTTCAAAAAAACAAAAGTACGATATTTTGAGGTACGAGGTCTGTAACTGGAAAGTCGCCGGTTCAAAATTAAGACTCAGCAGAATGATTTTATTTTTGTGCCCCTCAGTCAGGCCCTTAACCCCAATTGCTCTAGGGACTTGACCCTGATTTCTTGATTCTATGTCACTTCGGGTAAAAGTGTCTGCTAAATGAAAGGGTTAAGGGTTAAGCTTGGCCCCTTAACCCAACAAGAGCAGGAAGATTATCCCTTTGATAAACACGCAGAGTGACACCTGCCGAACGGCAGTGATTTGTTATGATGGTCAGGATCACAGGGAGTGTGTTGGCATGGATGCATCAGTAAACCCCACATCAAAGCGCCGTGTGATCACATCAGACAGCCCCAGGTTCGAGGCGGCCTCGAGGATCGCCGCAGTACCAGCCCGCTAATCAGGGGGCGCTTTGATTCCCTCCTAGTTTGACCTTGGGCCCCTTGTGCATCCTGCCTGTAGAGTCATTGCATTACATTATACATATACACACACACGTATAATATGGAAATATGAGAAATGCATTGGAAGGTGTCTGCGGAGTCATATTCAAGTGCTTTGCTTGGGGTGGACATGCTACACGAGAAAACTGATGTCAAAATATCAAAAAATATCACAAAAAAGTGAAGTGTGCACAGATTATAAATGTATATAAGCAAAAGCTAACGATTTCGGTGTTGCTAAGCATAAACAAGTACATACCATCCACAACTGAAAGTGTCCTCCTCTCTTCCGTGATGAAGGCTGAAGGTCATCCCAACTTGGGGACTCGGGTAGCAAAATTAGTTCGGGAATTTCTCACTCGAAAGTACAAGTTGACGGGGGCATTGACGTGCCAACTTCCGAGTCGGCGGCACGTATTTATCATAAATCCTGTTAGCGCGTGAAGGCAGAGTGATCGTTCCTGTATTTGGGACTTAACTGTAATCATCGGGAATTTGGGGAGATTTCGACCCATGCTGATGCCGGATAGGCATTTCGTGAATGTGGGACCCTGCTTTATAACGCAGTCCTCCTTCTCCACACAGGTATCCCAGCTCTGGCCTTGAGAGACAAGCTGGTACATCTATGAGGAAGGTCAGTCTGACTCTGAGACCATTGTAGAAAAGTGAGCGACTCAGCGAATGTTCAGAGGATGTAACTCAGAAATTAACTCGAGTACCTTTGTATGGATATTGTCCTTTTCAGTGTTGTAATCGTTAATTTGTTCATCAGGATTGGGTTCAATAAAGTTTGTTATCTTATCTTAGAATTATAGTTTTGTCAAGTTTTTTATGACACCATATATCCAGTAAAGCAATACAGACTAAGACATATATTTCTAGCACACAGGAGCTGCACTGTCTCCTTCATACTGCCATGTATTGGAGGCCTTGACTAAAGTATCTTCTTGACTAGATAATGAGCCTCTACTGAGATGGTCACGCTCATTATGGCGGGGTCCTCGGCTCGATGGCCGCCCCACTTCTCAGGCGTCACGAGGACGCTGCGATTAGACTGAGGGGCCTCTTTCCATTTGCTCGTGCCTGACCGTTAACTGAGCACATTCGCTGTTCCGTAGACACACTCAGCTTGTGAGTCGCCCCACTCTTCGGTTCGATTGGACATCAACCTAATATCTCTCTCTCTCTCTCTCTCTCTTTCTCTTTCTGTCCCTCATCTAGTCTTTTCATTATGCTTCCCTGAGAACTAAAACCAAAAAGAGGACCAAAGGTAAGGTGACCCCGCCTAGCCGCCTACCATACTGCCACCGTATTGTCACCATGTTGGAAAGGGTTCAGATTCAAACAGATAACTGTGCAGACTAATGAAAGGGAGCCTGGATGCCATATGAGCACAGGCAACGTGTGGGGGGCGGGGGGGGGGGGCTTGGGTGTTGATGATGGAGCTGGAAGAGAAACGAGATAAAGACGATTGAAAAAGATGCAGTGTCGATAATGCACTAATCAGTACGCACAGTGCTGCCGGTAGGACTCGCCCTGCCGGGGTCGGGGGGGTCGGCAGATGCTGACAGTTACATTAATAGATCTGGGCTGAGAGGGGGTGTGATGAGGGTGCGATCGGGGATGAAGAGATGCTGCCAGTAAAATTTATCCATTGGGTGGGGGGCTGGAGGGAGGGGGCTATCAAATTTGCTGATTGACTGATTGCCCACGGTGGGGGGGTCATATTTGACCTATAGATCAACTGACCAGATTTAATAAGTTTGACTCTTCCATTTTTCCTGCAGCGAGGAGGGGCCCCTGATTTTGCCAGGGTCCTAGGTTTTAGCTCACCATTGTCGGTGCATTAATCCGCCTCTGGTTGTCAGGCTGGGGTTAAAGGTCGACTCTTGTCCAATGTCAACTCATGGGCTGGATAGGATTGGCTGTGAGATGCCATGTGGTTCAGAGGTCACCCTGTCACCGTCAAGGGTAACGGCTGCCCGGAGCCCGCCCCTCTCCCTGGCAGGTTCTCTGACAGTCGGAAGCCGCAGACGCATCTCCTGCAAGGACCTCGGCCACGGAGACTGTGAGGGCTGGCTGTGGAAGAAGAAGGACGCCAAGGGCTACTTCACTCAGAAGTGGAAGAAGTACTGGTTCATTCTGAAGGACTCCTCGCTGTACTGGTACACCAACCAGAACGTAAGCAGCCGGAGCGTCAGCCCGCTCGAGAACAAACGCACGGTGGAAGTACGGTTCACTTTGAGCCGTCTTCCTTATCTATTTATCCAATACGGTTGTGGTAGCTGAGAAGTGTAGGACCAAGACGGGGAGACGACTGTGGCAGACAATAACGTAGTAATACCTGTCGCAGAGTTGACATGTCATACAATATTAATCCAATCCCACTGTAGCTCAAAATATGGTAGTACATATAAAATTTAATTTTAAATCGCATACCAGGTTCTGATTTAGTGATTTAGCACTGATATGGAAGAAAGGAGGTCTCTGCTACCTGTAAATAAACTGCGATACTATATAAATGACGCGGAATGCGGTGAACCTCAACTAAGCAACATTGAGTCATCAGTGGGTTCTAAAGCCACCGAGGTGATAGGAAGCCATCAGAGCCCTTGGGAGCTGAGGCAGGCTGGCCTAGTGTAGCGGCCATCTGACAGCGGCAGCAGGGCACCGCAAACACAACATTATAACCGGAATCCCTTCAAAACACGCTAAAGCTACGGGAAAGCGTGTTCTAATCTGGCCTTAAGATCTGAGATTATATCTGATGCCCAGACAAAGCCTGGAAGATTATCCCGCTGCGGTGGGGCCTTCGCTGGCAAGAGGCCTACTTCTGGCATCACTACTTGATATTGAATATATCAGATATTTTCATGAGTTTCCAGCACCTTGAGAACAATGGGAACAGTTTTCCTGGTCTTGGAAAGTATCTACATCCTTCTAAACAAGTTGAAGGATGTTCATTGAAGTATTATAGAAGGCTGGTAATAGTTCTACCAGCCTGTTGATGTGAGGTAACAAATGCATGTGCCATCACCACCAGCAGTAACACCAGCAGCACCACCAGCAGTAACACCAGCAGCACCACCAACATTAACACCAGCAGCACCACCATCACCACCAACAGTAACACCAGCAGCACCAGCAGCACCACCAGCAGTAACACCAGCAGCACCACCATCACCACCAGCAGTAACACCAGCAGCAACAACAACATTAACACCAGCAGCACCACCAACATTAACACCAGCAGCACCACCAGCACCACCTACATTCCCCCCATCATTGATGGATTCCAGGTGTCTAGTTGTGGCGATGCTTCTGATTCCCTTTGTGTTCATGGATGTCACCTCAGTCTTTATTAACCTTATATTCAGAAAGTCAAATTTATTGAAGTCTGGGGTAATAGGACTTGTGCTTCTAGAAGATCTAGCATATGTTATCACCCAGGAAATCACTGCGGTGTCAACAATGTCTTCTTAGCTCTGATCATGGTTCTTTCTGGAAACGAATGTCAGTAGTGAGCATCCGTTATGCTGGCGAAATTAGCTAGCTGACGTTTACATTCAGGAATGCAGGTAACTCTAGCCAGCTCATTATGGCTGTGGGCTCTGCTGCTGGCTAAGTTCTTCCTTAAATGAGTCTGTCTCCATACAAAAGGGCAGAAATATTACTGGCAATTAATGAAGACCCTATTGTAGGAAACAAAACCGCTTAGTCTGCCAGAATTTTGTGACAAAATGGTGCTGGAGGCCTGAATCTTAGAATGTTAATAGAATTTATATTTTAAATTACTTCTCATTGTCTCAGGTGAACAACAATAAAAATTTAAAGATGTTCATGATTCCAGTATAATGATATCGACAGGTGTAAAATTTTGGCTTTATGTACCTTTCCCAACTTGGACATCTTCCTGTGTCTTTTAGAAACTTAAGTTCCTGAAGGTAAAGTTACTAATCACGCAGAGGGCCTTGAATGGATGTCTAAGATAAGCTGTTTCAGCAACAACAGCGACCTTTTTCAGAAGGCTTTCACGGCTATGAGTCATTGGCAGGGTCTGTTTCCAGTGATGGATGTTAAACACGTTTGGTTGAAGGACATTAGGGTTAACTTATTCTCTCTCCCTCTCTCTCACTCTCTTTCTCTCCTCAGGATGAGAAAGCAGAGGGGTTTATCAGCCTACCCGAATTCAGGATAGACAGAGCGATCGAGTGCAGGCGGAAATTGTGAGTGCATCACTGCCCCCCCCCCCCCCCCGCCCCCCGCTGCTCCAGACCTCCTTCAGGTCATAGTTTGTGTTCTGACAGGGGTACAGAAGGGGCATGGATACCCTGGCCGATTCAGAAAGCCGGGCATTTTACGGGGGTCCTTGAATACTTTCAGTTATCTTGTCAGGGGGTCCAGCATTTCTAGCTACGCCCCCTGCAATCTGACCTCGGTCTGATGTCATCAAACAGAAACCGTGGCTCCTTTACGGTATTGGGAGCGTGAGGTTTGACCGAAAGCAGATGTTAACTCTGATTGCGAGCAGAGAGCCTCACGGTGCACAACAGCGTGTGAGTGCTGCCTCTCCTTGGGTAGCGTCAGACCGCACCACCCTCTGCTTCATTCCCCTTTTCGAAAGTACAGAGAGACGAGCAAGGTTGTGAAAAAGGGGCCAGATGCATCCATAACGCTGCATGGGTGGCGAAAAACGATGCACGTCTGCTCCCCAAGTCACTGATGTCCACCCGAGAGGCTGATTGAGCTCTGATGTCGGTTATCACGCAGAACAGCAGTGGGGGGGCGCGCTCTGCGTGTGTGCGTGCGTGAGGTCACCCCTGCGCACGTGGGCTGGACGGTGCTGGCTGTCTCCTCCTCCAGTGACTAACTGGCTCCCTCCATCTTCTCCAGTGCCTTCAAAGCCTGTCACCCCAAAATCAAGAGCTTCTTCTTTGCCACCGACTGTTTGGAGGAGATGAACAGGTAGGTGAAGGCAGTGATGACAGCAGAATGCATGCAAGGACTCCAGGAACCCCGTTATTAAATATAGTAGGTCTAGCTGCATTCCCCACTGGTTTACCCTGGTTAACAGGGTATAACATCATTACTGCCCTCTATCGTTAATACACTAGTGCACTAGCTAAACTGTTACATTTATTTACCACTCACTGGCCGGTATCTTGAGCTATTGTCGTTCCAAAACTAAAAGCTGGTTTCAGGTTTTTAGATCTTATCAATGTATTTAGTGCAGAATACTGGAAAAAAATGCAAAATACTTGCTCAGATCGACTTGCGACTCATTCATACTGCTTTACCGCTATCCAAATCCCTGCCCATTAAAAAAATGACGAGGAGCAGGGAAAGGAAGTTCCCTCCGAAAGGATAAAAGGTCTTATCCAGTGAAGGGAGGCGAGCCCCCGACAGCCGACTCCATGTCCGTGGGCGGTGGCTCGGCTTCAAGCAACGCTCCGCGTCTGCCGAATGAATACAGTCCCTGTCTGAAAACCTCCGCGCACCGCCGGGCCAGTTTGCCTTTCATCCGTAACGGCGCCATCTGCTGCCCGCCACGATGGCGCGTCGTCTGCCTTTTTACGGCCATTTTCTCCGTATTTACGTATTATTATTATTTCGTCTGATTCGTGCTGGATTTTGTCATAGGACAGAAAATGGAAAATTGAAATGAAATATTGCTTAAAAATACAGCCAGAAGAATCCCGTTGAATTTTGTGTGTGTTGAAACAGGAGAGTGCAAGGTCCTGCATACATATATGGAGTTTTTAAGATTATATTCATTCATGCATCTTTCAACGTTTGCGGATCACGCAAACTCCACACCCACACAGGACTAGGATTCAGTCCAGTGGCGGGTCAACTGTACACTGGGCCCTGGGGCAAAAATGGACCATGCCCCCCCCACCCCCTTCCAAATTCACACCTAGGACCTGCCTACACCAAATGCAGCAGTTGCAGATGATGAAATTTAAGTAGCCCCCAAATATTGTACCCATCATGCACTATAGTAGTTGGCAAATTCCACAAACATGCTTTTTGAACAACATAGTTTGAAGTATTTTTTTTGTATGATGTTGTATACATTGTATACATTTGCATGAGATTGTATACATTGTATACATTTGCATGAGATTGTATACATTGTATACATTTGTATGAGATTGTATACATAAAAATGAGATATAAAAATCAGGAGTCTGTATTATATGCATGATATCAGAACTGTAATTCTCATGACTATTTCACACATATGTGAGACTGGAGGTGAGAGGGTGGGCCTCGACGTCGCTCTGGGGGCCCAGGCTCTGTGACGGCTGCCCCGCCTCTTAGTCTGCCCCTGATTCAAACCTCCACTCATTTTAAACATGTATTCCTTACGATGACACACTAATTAACATTGTAATAGTATTTTAAAGAGTCACTGATGTACTCCAGTCAGAAACGAAGCACTGAGAACCCACATGAGGCCAGACTTTTGAAATATTTTCATTTTCAAACCTCTGTCTCTCAGCTGGGGGTGGGGGGGGTGTGAAAGTATTTTAGGGTCCACCAGAGCCCTTCATTACTGATTGTGTATGCTCAGCCATGTCTAAGATCACCTGCAATCTGCTAAATTTGGAATAGGGCCTTCGATGACAAGGGTGCATAAATAATTTAGTCTCCCTTTTGTCCCAGAAAGAGGTTACGCTGACCTCCTTATTCATCTTCCTCGCTGGCTCTGCTCTGAGGCGTAGAGAGCCACGCTGCATTGTGGGAAGGCAGAGGACTTTTTTAACCGGTGAAAGAGAGAACTTGATGAATCTGTGATATGCCCTTTACATTCACTTTAATTAATTCATTAGGGGGTCACTAGTGCAACTTTGAGAATGATCTGGTCTCTGTTCCTGTGCTTCTTTTAACAGACCTCTGTTAGTTCCATTGATCTTGTATTTCTGCATTTGTGTTTATTTCTATTGAGTTAATATTAAGGTGACTGAAAATGTGGGGAACTCATACAACACATGATAATATAGTATCATAATGAAAGAATTTTATTCTCTAGAGTCTTTGGATCTTGCTCTAATTAGGGTTAGGGTTTTTTGATCACCGCTTAACAATCTTGTGTTTTTAATTAAAAAAAAAAAAAAAAAAAGCATGCTTAATTGCAAAATTTGAATCTTGAAGCAAGCCTACAGCATTATGAGGATGTAACTGATGTTATTTATTTATTTTGGGATGATCAGATAAATTAGCAGTTGCTTCTCCCCTTTCGCGGATGCAGTTTCGGTGGCGTTGGAAAACGGCCGGTCAGGCGGCAAGGCCAGCTGTGCTCTTTCTCTATCATAAGTTGTTTTCGATTAACCCCCATGCAGTAGCTCACCGTAACCTCACATCCTGTCACACAGCTGCCACCTCCTCTTCCCAAAGGATGGGGTATAGACTACATCCTTCATATCCTTTGCAGTCCAGAATACAGTAGATGCTACAGGGACTATGGAAGACCTCATAAGATTCCGGGAGTTTCTTTGTACCAGGTTGTCACTCTAGAACTTCAGAAGAAGGGATCAGTCTTCACACTTTGTCCTTCTAATCAAATTGCAACTCATGGAGATTAGATGTATAAAGTACCTTAGCTTGTAGCTGGTTACATAAAGCTAAATTTATGTCACTCCCTCTGTGATCGCACCTGAAATCGTGTTAGCACAATCCACAGCTAAACCCTGCAGTCCAAGTCCATCCCACTGGGCAATAATCAAAAGAATACTGTAAATGACCATGCAAGAATGTGGAATTACATGAGGACTGGATAAAAAGCATGATTATCCCCGTCATCTGCTTCAGATGAGGGGTTATGATTCACAGACACTGTAGAAGCAGTGTCCGGGCGGCTCTCACACTGGCCATCTTAAATGTACTCATGTACTGCTTTTCTATCCAGTTAATTCCAAGGGTCTTCTCTCAATCCTTATCCCCCACTCCAAGCCGTTCCACATTTTAGTTCTGTTCTGCTACTAGCACCCCTCGTTTTACTTGCCAGTTAATTATAAAACCCTTTATCACCTGGCTCAGGCACGCAAGCAGTGGACTAGAACAAATATGTGGACTGGTTGCGGAGGCTTGAGGACTGGGTTGGGACCCACTGGGTTAATTTACCCAACTCTTCTGAAGCTCACTGACAAATACCCTCCTGACACACTCTCACGCAGGAGGCGACACTGCTCAAGTCCCTCCTCGATTCAGGCTGGCATGTTTTAGAAATTCCCGTGCTTGCTGTTCCCGCACAGGTCCCGACAGGTGAGCAGAGGGTGTGATTTTAAGCTTCAGAACCTTGATGCTGCTCAGTATGCTAGTCTCTGCCTAATTCCGGAGACCCAGATTTTTAAATAGTCTGCCTGACGTCCTCGGGGACACCAAACGCGTCCCGCTGACACAATTGCTCAATCCTCCGCGTTCCAAGGTCACCTCCCTGTAGCGGGGTAGCTGAGAAGGGACTATTACTTTTTTTTTGTAATCTCTCACAAACAAATAAGCAAATAAATAAAGAAAGAAATCAGTAAGAACCACCACCCTGGACAGTATAAGCAATAAGGAAGATGGATGAATATTTAAGGTCATTATAATTTTATAGATCTGTTTTATAATACAAGTGGTCAGATGGGGGGAAGTCACGGACATCCCGGTGTGGGGCAAGGCTATTTTTCTGTGGTTGCACTACAGTTTCCTGTTTTCTCTATCGCCCCCTACAGCTCAAAAAAAAAAACTCCAAGTCCCTGTTCCAGTTTCTAGTTACCATGTGATCTGAATGGAGCAATTCAATGCATTGCAAATAATTACATTATTTCAATTATAATTACACTATTGCAGTTAAAATACAGCATTATTGGGTATTAAAAAAAAAAACTATTCCCATTCATAGGGTGAGATGCTGTATTTGTGCCACTCTTCACGTGTTTTGCACTGTGCGTCGTACAGATTGCCTGTGAAATTTACTGGAATCAACTGGAATTAACTGGTTAATTCACAAGACTGGATTGTTAATATTCCCCTTCAGTATGACATTATGCTTACATATTACACCCAAAAATAAGCACATGTGTTTATATATAGTCTATATATTGACATATAGTGATATATTGTATATTCACAAACACATACACACACAAAGTCGTGTAATCATATCTTTTTGGGGACCACTGATTCATTTCTGTGGGAAAAATGCTAATGCTAACTATGACAACCTTAACCCCTACCCAGCCCTAACCATAACCATAAGTAACCAAATAAAATACAAGAGTGCTTGCATTTTTAGTTTTTTCATTGCAGTCATGGATTTTTATAAAATTGAGTTTTCCCATAAAAAAGGGTATTTATCACGTTGTGGGGACATTTGGTCCCCACAAGGTAAGGTATACCTGGACCACACACACACACACACACTCACACACACACATAATGTGATAACTCCTCAGAATACAATGTTAAAGTGAACATATCTTCACCATGTTATGGGGAGGAATATTCCAGTACAAAAAAAAACAACCCCCCCCCCCCCCCCCCCCCCCCCCCCCCCCCAGAGGCAGGGCAGAATTTTATGACTCAGAATAATGCACTGGCCCCATTCTCCCCCAGTCCTCCTCATTTAAAAAAGTCCAGAGCACAAGTGACACTTCAAGTCCTTAATGTTTGCAGTGACCTGGACCTGCTTGCCATCCCGCTCGCATGCAGGGCGCTTTGTGCTCACAGCTGCACGGTACAGCAAATAAAAAGCAGCCGCGGGGGGGGAAGCAGGGGAGGGGGAGATGGGAGAGATGTCCTGTATTGTGTGTACTGCATCAGTGTCGTCTCTAACGGGGGCACGCCTCACCATTGAGGGCCGGTCACATGTCAAGGATCCGACAACTTCCTTGGCTGTCACCCATGATTCTGCAAAGGGGGGACGTTCCCAGAGCATGACCCCCCCACCATGCGCACTGCTTACAGCATAGAATGAAGACATAACCCAGATACAGCGCGGTCAGGTCCTGGGTGGAATAGGCGATTTTACTGGGGGTGAAGGGGTGCAACTGCACCCTCTACTGGTCAGATGAAAATGCCATTTGAACATATATAAAGTTATATTTGAAAATGCGGCTTGTGTTAGTCATATCAATATGTAATAATAATTCATTGTAAATCCATATAATTTTTCTTACAAAGTTATTTATCTGGTTGAATGATGGCTGGGCTCTCTCACCTTCAACCCTTTAGGAGAAAAACATAGAATCACTTATGCTGGGGTACGTTTCCCATGCAATGATAGAAGTTAGCTTTAACAAACTAACTAACATCAGAAGTATGACTGTTTTCCCAAAACCATCATACTTTGTTAGTACCACAGTAGTTTGAACCACGTTAGTTCGAACCACCATAGCTCTGGTTTCCCAACATGAATCGTTTGACTCTCATGGCGGGTCGCTTGCAAAAACTCACTTTGTGATATTATTTCTAAATACGACAGTTGTACCGATAATAGATTATTAATTTATTGTGTTAGTCATATAAGAGCAATAATAATATTAAAAACTTGAAAATATCTATAGTGTCATAATAATAATGATACTCAAATGATGATTATGGAGGAAAAAAACTATTAGTTATTTGGCTACAATGCATTTAGTGGAATCGACTCTATCCGTAATTACGTTTATTTAATTCTTACATTTTAATTACACTATTAACACATAAATTCCTGATCTGGTTTTGAATATACAGCCTATTAACTGCTCAGTGGGAATGATGGGCGATCAGGTTCGTTGCCTATGTGGCCATGGGTTTCATTCCAAACACCTGGGTTTTTTAAAAATATTTTCCGTATTGCAACGAAAGCTCTCAGTCATTAAGAAGTGATTCATTATTTGTAGCCATTAATTTGCCCGTGTTGTTTGCTTTCTCCATGTATTTTCTAATTTGTTACTGTGTGTACGTAAGCGCTGAATGATAAATCGTTTCAGCATGGTCATCGCTGTGTGCGCGTGCGTAATAATCCTATTGCATGTGTCGGCGCTGCTTTGTTTCCGTTGACACAACCCGTGGCAACACTACTAACTTACAAGACACATTTTATTGTTCTATTTGGCGATAATTTATTTTGGGTAATTCCATCTCCTTTTTGGTTTTATACATATCGCAATATGTGATATTGTGATGTCATAATCATGTAGTTTGCTTTGGGGCATGCTATTGCCCTTTTTTGTACCAAGTGCACCACCTGGTGGGGTCAAAAAATACAGCGCATGGTTCATGAGGCATCATTTTGTCCATTACTACAATATATACTTTACCAGGCTGTTATCTGTCTTGCTCAGAGGGTCCAGTTTTTAGTTTTAACATTGGCTTTGTAAGAAATCTTAAACAGCATTTACCATGCAAGAACCCCCCCCCCCCAAAAAAAAAAAACAAAATAAAAAAATAATAATAAATTGCATCGTATTTATATTTGTATTTATGTGCAGCACTATAGGGGGCACTGTGTACTTGTACTTGACATGTGACAATGAAGAACTCTTGAGTCTTGAGTTTCTTATGCAGCTGGTTTATCTGAACCACTGCAAAAAAAGCTGTGTAAGTGTTAGAATTTTAGCTCTCTGTAAAAACTTCAGGTAAGCAGTTGATTGTGCTTAAAAAGGGGAAACAGTGTCTGCTTTTGATCCCCCGGCAGGTGGATGAACCGGCTCGGACTGGCAGCTATAGGCTATACACCCGATGACAAAGTGTCTCGCCCCGATGAAGGTGAGGGAGCACAGCGGGGATCCTGCTGCGCCCTAAACGAATGCAGCCTCGCTCTCAGGCCATTTTAAATACTGCCCAGATATAGTCACCAACGTGTCTGCCGCTCCCACAGCCGGCTCCTCTCTCCATGCCGTGAAAATGTGAATCATTGAGCACGTCTCTCTGCAGATTACTGGAGCGAAAGTGACCAGGATGACATCGACGGGTCTATGACCCTCAAGCAAGAAGGTCCCTCTTCACTGTGTGAAACATACCACCGAACTCCCTCTGTAAGCCCTCACTCTCTATTTAGCAGCATACACACACACACACACACACACACACACGTGTTTGCTTTTATGATGTCATGGTGACAGCCTGTTGTCTCACTTTAATATTTACTGATCCCATTCTTTGGCTCCTTAAAAAATGATGATGATACTATAAAAGAAAGGCCTCTGACAGTTTTTATCACGCTCAGTCTCCACAAAGATGGAAGCATATGCCCACAGTCAGGGACAACCACTCAGAGATACTTTTCTGCCTTGAGGAAAGCATTATACACAACTGTCAACTGTCAGCACTCTTATTTCACTGTGTGCAAGCACAGGACAGCAGCGGGTTCAACAGAACAGTGACGGCTTTTAGGGTGAATAAAACATCACAGCCCTCCCGCTGGCACAGTAGCCCTTAACTGCCTCTCTGTTTAACTAACGTGAGAGCAGTCGACGTACAGATTCGCTTGGTGCTTAACAGGTGATGAACACTAGATGGCGCCAAATACAAATCTAAAGAGGATTATGAACTAAATGAATTGGGAGCAGTAGTGATCAAGCAAGTCATTAGGAGGATTTATTAGGGGAAATATTTTGCTACCACTTTACACTAAGGCTCTTTTTTTGCCATGTGGTAGTAACTCAATAGCAAAAAAATCTGTGTTATAAACAATCCTTTGGGATTGTGGGCTGGTACTCACTGGTCCGCAGTATCAGCACCTCTTCCTTGAGTGAATGCCACCTCTCAGTATCTTCTGGTTCTGAATAACAAAGGAAGTACCAGAATCTGGTACTGAATAAGAAGTGACATACCGGCACCTGAACACTGAATAACAAGGGGAGTACTGGCACTTAGTACTGAATAACAAGGGGAGTACCAGAACCTGGTACTGAATAAGAAGTGGAGTACCGGCACCTAGTACTGAATGACAAGGGGAGTACTGGCACT